AAAAGAAAATTAAAAGATTGGATGCGCCAAAGTTATTGTTTGATTGGAGATGAAGGGTTGCTGTGTGTACAGCTCAGTGAAAAGCACCTTGTGTTGTGTTTACAGAAAGCCAGCAGCTCTGTCACAGGGGAAAGGAGCCAGAGGTGGCTCCAGGTGACATCTCTGGGTGACCCTGGGGAAACCTCATGTAATCTTGAGCACCCACTGAGCCCAGGGCACCCCATACAGGGGGGTTTGCCCCAGGTTTGGGTGCTCTGCTTGAGGGGGATGCCCCATTCCAGCCTCTCCATGGCCATGGCTTGCTGGGGCTGCTGGAAATGCAAAGCCCAACATGGAGCAGGGCAGTGCCATGACTGAATGGCCATGGGGGGACTGCACTTTCCTTTTTTTCTCATCTTAGGACTGCTTTTGTCACCTTATAGCAAAGATTAGCAAGACCGTCAACATTGTTTCAGCACCAGTTTAAGCAGATTTTGCCAGTGGTGTGTTTCTGAGGGACTTCCATGTCTTCCACAGACCTGGCAGCTTGTTCCTACCCTGGCCATCTCTTTCCCAGTTACTTACTCACCCATTTTTTTACTTTTTTATGTACAGCTCCCCAGCCCAGGTCACTGTGTGGGAGCAGATATTCTGACCAGTGTGAGTTTTCTGGCATTTTCATGGCTCTGTTGTGCTGGAGTTCTCTGTGGGAAATTTTGCTCTCACAAGAAGTCTTGGAGGGGAATCCAGAGGAGGCTCCAGGATGAGCAGAGGGATGGAGCAGCTCTGCTGGCAGGAAAGGCTGGCACAGCTGGCATTGCTCACCTGCACAGGAGAAGCTTTGGGCTGAGCTCAGGGTGGCCTTGCAGGGCCTGGAGGAGCTGACAAGAAAGATGGAAATTCACAAGGGCCTGGAGTGACAGGACAAGGAGAATGGCTTCAAACTAACAGAGAGTAGGATTAGATGGGATCTTGGGAATTAGGAGTTGTTCCCTGGCAGGGTGGAATTCCCAGAGCAGCGATGGCTGCCCCTGGATCCCTGGCAGTGCCCAAGGCCAGGTTGGACACGGGGGCTTGGAGCAGCCTGGGACAGTGGGAGGTGTCCCTGCCATGGCAGGGGTGGCACTGGGTGATCTTTAAGTTCCCTTCCAACCCAAACCATCCTGGGATTCCATGGTTCTCTGAGTGCTGAGGCCTCCAAAACACTCTGGAAGTGCTGTTCAGAGTCTCAGCATAGGCTTCTTCTCACCAGGCAGCATCTGGCTGTCCCCATTGTGTTTCAAAGTAATAAATTTTGGGGAAGTTTCAGGTTTTTCCTTCATGGGCCACTTTTTCAGTGACAAACTCCTTGGGGAGGAAGCACTGACCAAATTCACCACAACCTGAGTGGCTGCAGTGAATGAGGATGAGGCTGAGCAAGCTTTGCACTGCCCTCACTATGAGCTGACCTTGTAGCAGCCTCTGTAATCCAAACTGTGCTTATTAAACTTGTGAAGACATGTAGATATTTGGACAATACATTTTTTCTCATTTATTTCCCTCTGAAACTCAGAAATATTGAACAGAGGAGTTTATATTATGGGAATGATACACCCTACACATGTAGGGTTTTGCTGATTCCTAATCTGAATTTCTCTGACACCTTGCATTTCAGCACAGCACAGGTGTTTTATGCCACCTGGGGAAAATAGTAGCATAGTGAAAAGGAAAAAATGTGCTTATTTAGGAACTTACATCTGCTTGCATCAGAGTCAATGACTGGCAGAACTCCAGTCAGCTTTGGTAGGAATGGGTGATAAATTTAACTATCGAATCAGCTTGATTTTAAGTAACCCTGCTTTAAGGTGAGGCTTTCAAGTCTGAAGGAGAAAATACTTTCTCAGCAGATATTTATCATCTCAAGACTGGACAAAGTGTTCTTGGGTTCCATGACTGTGTGTAGCCTTACCTCTTTTTAACTTACTTTTTTTTTCTTTTTTTGTAAATTCCAGGTGTAACACAGTATATTTACAAAGGGCAAAAATAACAGGCAGCCGTGAAGAAAAACATCTCTGCTTTCATTTCAGACCTGGAGCTGGGGATGAATCACTGCAGAGCTGCACCCTTCACTCTGGGTACACTTTCCAAAAGCTGCTTTTCCACCCTGCTGCCCTGGTGGCACAGAAATAAAGCAGACTCACAGAAAGTCCTAAAAAAAACCCCTTTGTAGACAGTCACTCTCTTGTTGTTCTGGGCACTAGAAACACCATTTTCTAGCATCTGCTTGCATTTTCAGTTTTGCTTTCTGTGCTGTAGAAGTTTGTTCCAGGCAGTTGAGTTAAGCCCTAGCTCAGTGGTTTAGGGCACACACTCAATTTGAAGTACCAGAGTAGTCCTGTTAAATCCCATGGAGTTGATTCCATGCCTGAAATTAAGCGTGGCCTTAGGAGATTTGATGGATGGGGGATTTGCTTGTCCACCCAGTGAGCTAAAGGGACAAAACCCTTGACCATCTGCTTCTGGATTTTAATGAAAAGTTATGACTTATTTATGATCTTCTTCCCCACCCCTGTGTGTTTATATTCAGATCAAGAAAACCATCTCAGAAGCCCTGTCAGATTGCCAAAACCTCTGTGCTACTGGATCTTCCACATCATTTACTGCTCAGTGTTTACAAGAGTGTTTTTAATGCACCATTGCTTGTAGAAGTGCTGTGGGCTGCTCCTGATGGGATATGTCACTTTGGAGTTCCTTTAGCCCAAGTTTCTTCCCCAAGAAAAAAAAAAAATTAAATAATTTTGCCAGTTAAACTAAAGGATGTTGCTAGCTAAAAGTTCAGTGAATAAGCCAAATAGTTCTCTGTAAAAGAATTGCTTTTTGGAGTTGGGGTCCACATCTGCACAGGTATAAGGGCAGGTGGTGGAGGATGTTTCCAAATGTCCATAATTTAAAGTGCAGGCTCACTCACGCATTTATGCCATTTGTATTTGTGGAAGGGAAGCAGAAAAAGGCAACATTTCACTCACAGGGAATCATCACAAAAGCTCTCCTTCAGATTTTGTGTCTGAAACAAAAAGCAGCTTTGTTTTGCTCTCTTTGGACAGAAATGGGCTGCATCCCAGGGTTATATTTAGTGGTGTGTGGTAGGAGAGCAAAACTAAACCTGAGAAAATATTGCCCAAGTGCTCTGGTTGTGAGGGGAAGGGCTGAATTCACCACCATGCAGTGGCAGGTGCTGGCTGTGTTTTCCCTGTGGTTGTTTTCCAGTCCTGGGGCTGACAGAGCAGTTGCAGGGCTTTTACACAGGGCACATTTCATAGGGGGTGTCTTTAGAGGAATCCTGGAAAAAGTGTGTGAGGCCAACATTTTCCAGGCAGCATTGGAGGCCCTCTTCCTTCTCCTAACTATGATGTTGCCAACCATTGAATGATCTCAAAAGTAAAAAATATTTTATTTTTTTAACTGAAAATCAGCAGCAGTTGATTTTTTTTTTTCCTTAATATCTACCTTAACACAGAAGGGTAAAATTAGTAGAAACATTTTGTAGAAAAAATAATGTTATAATTTTTATTTTCTTGTAGTATTTAAGATGTACACTAATTTTTCAGCTTTCCAAGTGCTGGTTCTTTTTTTAAAACACTCATGTGAGAATTATAGCTGGGTTAGTTCCTGAAGCATGATAGTGCTGAGCAGTCAACACAACTGAGTCACAGAGCTTTGAAGGGGCTCCAAGAGAGATGGAGAGGGACTTTGGAAAGGGCCTGGAGTGACTGGACAAGGGGGAAAGGCCTTAAACTGAAGGAGGGCTGAGTTAGATGAATATTGGGAATTGGGAATTGCTCCCTGGGAGGGTGGGCAGGGGCTGGGATGGAATTCCCAGAGCAGCTGTGGCTGCCCCTGGATCCCTGGCAGTGCCCAAGGCCAGGTTGGACACTGGGGCTGGAGCCGCCTGGGACAGTGGGAGGTGTCCCTGCTGAGTGATTTTTAAATTCCCTTCCCACTCAACCCATTCTGTAATTCCACAATTCCATGAATCTGTGACTTGCCTCTTGTTCAGTGAGGCCACAGCACAATTTCAGGAGTTAAATGGCAGGGCTAAAGGAAAGCTTGTTAGTAATGAGGTATTGCTGAAGAAACCAATCCCCAGCTAACACCCTTCTTCCCTTGCCAAACAAACTCTTTACATTTAAAGGTATTCCCCATGGCTGAGTTCTTTATTTTGATTTTTGTAACAATTTTTCTCCCTCTGATGAAACACGTTGTAGACATTAAATTAAGGGACAAATATGTCTGTGTCTGCCAGAAAGAAAACTGTGATGCAATTAAAATGCCATTAGGGAAGCCCCTGTGGGATGTTAAACCTAAAGACTCTATTCAGAAAGCAAAGCCAAAATTAAAGAGGTGTCTGGTTGCAGATCCTCTGCAGATTTCCCTGTCTTGACTACAGTACCATGGAGACTGAGCTAGTCAGGAGCTGAAAGGTTTTTCCAGTCATGCGTGTGGTATTTTAAATCATGGCTTTGGCAAATATTCCCTTTTTTTTTGTGAGCCTTACATAGAAATGTGAATACATTGCATGACATGAAGTGCCACTGACTCTGGAACAGCGGTGGCAGTGGAGGTGGGCAGCTCTCCAAGCCTTGGACTGCTTGGACAATGGCAACTAAGAATAGTTTTCCCCCCAGAAAATATGCAATAAGTGTATTTCTGTGTTTCTCAGTTGGCTGTGACATGTTTGGAGAGGGAAATGCAGCTCCTTGCTGAACAACCTCATGACCAAGCCTCCATTCCATGTCTGGAATTAAATCATTAGTATTTATAATTTCTGGAGAGATAGGAGAGCCTGATCCTTTGGTAATAGAAATAAATCTATGGTTCATTGAACCTGGTTGGTGGTTTTAGACAACTGAAGGAATCTGCAGAGTCACTTGGTGGGGGGAACTGGGTTTTCCAGTTTTCCATTTCATTCCAGGTGATTTTCTTCATGTGATATTAATAAGGACTGGAATAATAATGGAAGCACACCTTTCTTGTCTGCCTAGGAATTCTCCAGATGACTGCAGCGTGGCAAAAGGAGGGAAGATGGTCAGCAGCTCAGACAGTGTTGGGATGAACTATGGAAGCTACATGGAGGAGAAGCACGTTCCACCCCCAAACATGACGACCAACGAACGGAGAGTCATTGTGCCAGCAGGTCAGACCCTCTGCACCAAATGCAAGCCCAAAAAAACTGCATTTTCCTCAACGTCACTAAGATTATTTGAGAGGGTTTGGAGAAAAGCAGTGATCAGGAGGGAAAGAGCAGTAGTTTGTAGGGGTTATTGAGAGAATGAGCTGAGGAGGATCAGTGAGGACACCTCCTCAATCTGTTCTTCCCATTTCAGCAGCAGAATGGGCTGATAAGAGGCACTCAGATCTTATCTGGCTCCTGTAGCTCCTTCTTGGAGGATTCCACCCTAAAGTGAGCAAAAGGAAGAAGCACCTCCATTTCTCATCCCAAACTGGGTGCAGGGTGTGTGGGACAGAGAGAGAAAGGATCACTGTAGCACAGGTTGTCTTTGAAAATACCGAAAAGTACCTTCTGTGGATTCAAACAGGACATGAAGAGCCTTTATGTGGGTTATCCCCTGAGTCTGGGCAGCATAAAACATTTTAATAAGCAAACTGACAACTCCACTGCAATGTAAGAGCACAATTGAGAAATTCTTGGTCAGCCTTGGCAGGCTTGGCTGTGGGATTCAACAGTTGATGGGACAAGAAGGCTGCTGCCTTGTTCTTGTTGCCTTGTCCTCCAAACAAACCTGGAATATTCTGTAGAATAATTAGCCTGCCTGTTTCCAAGTCACAGCATCATGGCATCTGTGGGTGTTCCTGAACCACAGGATGGGCACAGGGTAAACTCAGCACCTGCAGCCAGGAGGGAATGTTTGCTGCTGGTTCCTCTCCAGCAGAGAGGTGCTGGTGTGAAATATTTCTGCCTCTGCCATGTTGCTTAATATTATTACAGTTTTTCAGTTGCTTAGACATGCAAGAGTACTGACTGTGGCCAGTTTTGCAAGCTGTGATTATTTCAGTTATTTGTCAAGAAAGGTGTGGACAAATCTGTTGCAGTGTCCTCCTCTGCAATGGTATTGTCAATTCTGTTCTGGAGACAGGAGAGTGATGCTCTGAATAATAAATGTCCTGCCAACACTGAAATACAGAGCTTCTGAAAGTTCCAAAACCTTTCTCTTCCTAATGTTTGGCACTTTTTTAAAAAAGACTTTTAGTAATTGCTAGCATGGTTAGCTCAACAAGGGACTTTTTTATTTAGTGTATTCCTGGGGGTGTGTTTGAGATGGGTTTGAATGACTATCAAGGAACAAGATGGTCACAGTCTTGCCAGTTTGAAGTCATTTGAAGAAATTAATGGGCAAAAATCAGGTTTTTTTTGATTATTGCATAGGCAGTGTGCAGTTCATGTGGTAAAGTTAGAAGTAAAATTCACATTTCCAGTTGTCGTAACTTCCTATTTCTCATAATTAAGAAAAAAATTGAAAATTTTAAAAAATTACAGACATAATGGAAATATTTTGGTAAATTTCCTGGAGTTTGGTTGTTTACTTCAGAGCAAACTGAAGTTCTCAGAGTTCTTTGCTGTAGGTGTAGGCAATCTCGTCCAGACCTAGGATTTAACACCAGACTTGCATCTCTCTAGATTCCTGCTTATTTCATACCAGATGGAGGCATTATTTTAACTGTTTTTTGGTAGAATTCAGGAGGTCTCCACCTCTTTCAGACCAGCCTGAACAGCAGTGAAAATAGAGGGAATGGCACTGAAGTTAAGCCATAGAAAATCTATTTAGGCTGCCATTCATGTCCCAGATTTTCATGGGATGAGCCTTGGGAGCCAATTGACCTCCATGTGCTCCATTCTCAGCCTCAAGGATATCACAAAATCACTGAGTCATTAAAATGATACGGAAGAAGGTCCTGAAGAATTTTCCCCCTTGGCTTTAAACTTTTCTCTGCAAAAAGTAGAAATTCTTTGTGGTGTGAGCTGAGGGACCTTTGTGTTGTTGGTTCCTTACTCAAGAACAGGGAAAGATAGAATGGGAGAGAAATAGAAAATGAGGTGTTTACAGGGAAAAATTTTAAAAAAGCTTAAATTAAAATTAAGGATTCATTAAAAAGCATTTTGCTAAAAATCTCAGCTGTTTAGTTAGGGCTCTTTTTTCCCAGATGATTTCTGCCAATACTTCAGGTATTGAGTGCAAAACCACGCAGGTGTAGCTATGTACAACACAGCAGTCTGGGGGAAAAAAAGGCAGAATATTTTAATATTCTAATATTATTAACTAGAGACCCACTCTAGTTTGTGAAATAACTGCCTGAATCTGTGAGTTCTTATTTATCCTGTACCCAAGAAAGATTGTTTCAGACATGAGTGGAAATTTCACTTGAATAAAGACAAGGAATGAACAGAGAGTACCAAAACCTGTTCAGCTCCAGCTTGCAGTGCTGTCAGTGGGCCAGAAGCTCTGTTAAAAAGAGCTAAAAACAGTGGCTAAAAAGGCCTAAAAACAATGAGGCAGAAGAGCTGAGTGGGAGAAGGAACTCACAAAATTCACAGAATCCCTGGGTTGGAAGAGACCTCCAAGACCATCAAGACCAACCCAGCCCCAAAACCTCAACTGAACCCTGGCACTCAGTGCCACATCCCGACTTTTTTTACATCCAGGGATGGGGACTCCAGCACCTCCCTGGGCAGCCATTCCAGAACTTTATCATCCTTTCTGTAAATAACTTTTTCCTAATATCCAACCTATATTTCCCTTGACACAGCTTTGTTCCCTTGACAGGCTTTGTTGTTAGCACTGAGCTCTCAGCTCTTCACAGTTCTTCTCCCTTGCAGTCAGCACACCAAATTAACTCCTCCAGCAGTCAGTGAAGAGGAGATTATTTTTCATGGGTCCAGTGCCTCAGAATTGCCCTTCCCTGCCTGATGTTTTGCCTTGTGTCCCTGCAGACCCCACGCTGTGGAGCACTGACCACGTGCGCCAGTGGCTGGAGTGGGCGGTGAAGGAGTACGGGCTGCCGGACGTGGACATCCTGCTCTTCCAGAACATCGACGGCAAGGAGCTCTGCAAAATGACCAAGGATGACTTCCAGAGGCTCACCCCCAGCTACAACGCAGACATCCTCCTGTCACACCTACACTACCTCAGAGAGAGTAAGCCAGCCCTGTGTCGTGCCTGCACTCAATCCCAGATTTACCGCTGCGGATAATTGGGTTTTCCAAATGTCTGTTGCAAATGTTGCTGTTCCTAAGAGCATAACAGGGAGGCCAGCCCAAGTCCTGTTGAGTTTGATGGAAAGATTCCCATTAATTTCACTCATTTTTATTACAGACAAGAATTAGTGACTCTTTCTAGGTATCCATCTCAGAGAAAAATTGAGTTGAAGCATATTGAGCAGGAAGAAAAAAATCACATGGGGTTCAGTGCTGATGTTTTTTCTGGTCACGTACTCATTTCTTTCCATTTTAACTAAACAAGAGTGCAAACATTGATTCATAAAGTGAATTCCAGGCATGATTCTAAGGAATGGCAGGAGTTTGCTGTACTCTGGGAAGGATTGGGAAGATTCAACTGAATTGAATAAAAAAAATTCTGTAAATTCATGGAAAAAAGGCCCTGAAGTCCAAATGCAAATTAATTGTAGTGCATGGCTAGAATTTCAATGGGAAAAAAGGGATTACCTGGATTGAGGGCTTTCACCTAAGCTTGAGGAAAATTTACCTCAGCTTAAAGTTAAAATGAACATGGTTTTTAGAGAAAAAACCACCAAGCATTGCAACACCAGTGCGGTGCAGTCTCCTCCACACGCACACTGTCAATAACCAGCCAGAAATTTTGTGCATTCATAACAATAAATTATGATATTGGATAAATGAATGCCCTCATTTACCCTGTAGCCCACACACCTCCCTCCAAACTGCAGGCTGTTGATGGATTCACATTCAGGCAATCCTGTCAGGGGAAAAATATGGTTTAAAAAGATAATTCACGATTTTTTTTACATTTTGGTGTTGCTTTTTGTTTTGTTTTGTAGCTCCTCTTCCACATTTGACTTCAGATGATGTTGATAAAGCCTTACAAAACTCTCCACGGTTAATGCATGCTAGAAACACAGGTAATGCTGGCACTGCTCCCACTGCTGTAGGTCATCATCTTCTAAAAGCACAGGATTCCTTTCCATGGGCTGCTTGCTAAAAATTGGAGGTGGTAAATGAGGAGGGAGGCAAGAGAGTCCCCTCCCTGCTGTCTGTGTGTTTTCTGCACAGACACACAGAGAAAAGGTGAGATCACGCAGGGCCAGGTGGTGCAAAAATGGTGCAGGAATTTCTGGTGTCCTGCAAGAGGATGGGGGCCCTGACACAGCATAAACCTGCAGGTTTGGGGCCTTTCATCTGAGGATTTTTATGGTCCTTCTGTCGATTCTGCTGTGAGATCTACTCCATGGATCCCTAGAAGCTTCTTGGAGCTCAGAAGTGCTTTGGGCTCTGGGGGAATGGGGATGTTTCCCCTCCCACGAGCTAAATGTTGTGGGAATCAATAAAATTGCTCTTTAGGCAGTTAGCTCATCTCATTTTCTAGCTGCTGTGGGACTTGAGCTGGGAATTCCACTAAGGCTGATCTGAATTTGAAATTATTTTTGTTGATATTCACCTTTTTGTTAATTTGGCCCAGAAAAGTGTTGAGTGTAGGCAGGAGAATGACACATGCCTCATCTGTCTTTCAGGATGCAACTTAAAGTATTTATGAAAATAATTCAGAATCTGTTTTCACTTGCTGTAACAGTTGTGCAGCAGAGGATGGCATGGAATGGTACAAATAATAATGTGGTTTATATCCCTACAAAAGATATTTGGAATATTGCGTGATCATGCCTGAGGGTGTTAGTTATCTACAGTGACCAGAAATAACAATTCTCTATGAGAAAGGAAAAAGATAATACAAAGGATGATGCAAAAGAAAAAGAAAACAAAACTTGGATAGCAATGTTTCTTTCATATTTTATTTCGTTTTTCACTCTGAGTGAGTTTCATAGCAAAATTCAGTGGATTAGATCTTTCCCTGACGTTAGAGGTTTGCCACTGGTCGTAGTGGCAAACAAACCCCACCAAAAGCAAAAAAAAAGAATCAATTTATTTTGATGTGGTTTGGATAAGATTTGAATCCTTTTTAAAAATATTTGTACTTAATGGTCTTTTCCATCTCTGGCTTTGGAGATTCTCATTTGCCAAGCTGCTTCCACCTGTGGATATCCAAGTGTTGTTCAGCAGTTCTGTGTGTTATCTTTTTCTTTACGTGTGCACTGACAATGATATCCTGAAATTAATTTCACCAAAATCAGATTATCTGTCATTCGGGAGTGTGAATGATGGTGTGCTGATCATCAGCATATGGGAAATCAGTTGTTCAATTTTCAGTGGGTCACAAAAGAGTTAGAAAAAAAGTTCTTGAAATCAGCAATAATTGACTTTTTTGATTTTCCTGGAGAGAGTCATGAGAAGTCTATTGGTGTAGTCAGAGCAATTTCAATGCCTGAGAAAGGGGAGATTCCATTTCCTACATCAAGCTCAATATTTCTCATTTTTTCACTCTGTGGAAGATTAATGGGATATCTGAGGGTCTGACCCAAAAGTCTCTGTTGAAAATATGGACTTTTCTGGGAATGCACTAATGAAGGCAAAATGGTTTTATTTCAGGGGGTGTAAAGCCACCTTCCCAGGTGGAGGTGGTTGTGGTAGAAGGGATTTCCTGAGCTTGACTGTCTCCTTCTTAAAACAGATCTTGCACAGACTTTTATCCAGTAACTTGAATGGATTTACATAGATGTAGAAGATTATTAGAATTAACTTTTATATCTAACAGTCCAATGGCAGAAATTAGTTATTCAGATTCCTCACTCATTCATTCTACAGGAGGGGAAAGTATTGGTGGATTTAGGGACTGTGGAAATGAATTTTTAGGTGTTATGTTCTCTTCTTTCTCTTCAGGAGGTGCCACTTTTATTTTCCCAAACACATCCGTTTATCCAGAAGCAACACAAAGAATTGCAACCAGGCCAGGTATGAACAATGACCACTTCTTGTGTGCTGTGATCTTACTCATTTTGTCTCTTGAAATATCTCATTCTTTTTCCCTTTTCATAAATATGAGGCCCTATTTTGAACACACACATTATTTACTTTTATCACATATATATGTGTCTATATAATTGTGTAGAGTGAAATAATTAGAGTGAAATAATTAAGTAGAGTTTAAGAAGTCCATTTCTTCCACAAATCTCTGTCTTTGAAGAAATTGTATCAACTTTTTAAAGCACCAGGGAATCAGAAACCTGAGCTCTGTTCATTGGTTCTGTTGCACTGTCTCAGCACAGTCACCTGTCAGCTCTCTTTTTGTAAAATGAGATTAAAATTCCCTTTTATTTGAAGTCTATTGTGGAAAAATACTCTAAAAATGCAGGATATAGGCTTCTCCTGCTGTCTAAATTTTATTTGTGTTTGAGGCAAGCAGAACCCACAACAATCTGATTACGAGTTTAAGAGTCTTAAGTAAAATCAAAACATAAGGAAGCTCTTAAGGCTCAACATTTTGAAACCTGTGGAAGTTTTGTGGATGTGCTGATTTGTGAAAGGCTGATGGGAATAATTAAAGAAGGTGAGGACATGGCTATGAAGCCAAAGATTTTATTTTTATCAACTTCACCACAAAAAATGCTGGAAAAATGCCTAAACTGGACATTTGCTTTTCCAATAATGAGTGCAGAGTACTAATGGACATGAAGAGGAGTTACAGCAAATGCTGAATTTAAAGGAAATCCATTACTGAGCCAGAGGCAAAAATCCAAGTGCTCAGAAGGGACATGCACTGGAATTGGCTGAGCTCTGGTGAAAAGAGATATTGGCACATTAAAAAGGGAGTTTGAAGAGGAATTATTTTATTTGTGCTCTAGGGAAGAGTGCAGGAGGGTTCATGCAGATATTATTTAATATAGCCTTGTGTACATGTATATATGCATGTCTGTAGATTTGGTAATTGATAATTTGAAAAGAGAAAAAAGGAAATAACCACCAGGCCATTACATCAACAAATTCAACTTGTTTGGATCCTTGGAAATCAAACTCTACTAGAATTGTTTGTTTCTATTAATGGCTAAAAAGGGAACTGCTGATCCAGTGCATACATTTGGCTTTCATAAGGCATTCACCAAAACACCCCACAACTATTTATAATAGAAATTAAATCAGTGTATCATAAGAAACAAATTAAGAACTGGCTAATTATCCTGTCATCAGTAATGGACATCTTATGTTATTTAGGGATTGTTCAGCCTGGGGAAGAGAAGCTTTGGGGTGATGGAATTGTGGCCTGAAGGAGCCCCAGGAAAGCTGGAGAGAGACAATTTCCAAGGGCTGGAGGGACAGGACACAGGGAATGGCTTCCAACTAACAGAAAGTAGGATTAGATGGGATATTGGGAATGAGGAATTGTTCCCTGGCAGGGTGGGCAGGGCTGGGATGGAATTCCATCCCTGCATCCCTGGCAGTGCCCAAGGCCAGGTTGAACACTGGGGCTGGAGCAGCCTGGGACAGTGGGAGGTGTCCCTGCCATGGCAGGGGATGGAACAAAATGATCTTTAATGTCCCTTCCAACCCAAAAATTCCATGATTCTTTGATTTTGTTGTTACTTAAACCCAGAGATTCCTATACAGGATTCCTGTCCAGGTACCCAGGAAGTTCATTAGGGAGAAGCAACTTAGCAATCAATTAACAACTGAAAACACAAGTTGATAAATGCAGCCCAAGGCACAATTTATTTGCATATCTTACTGATTCCAAATTAGCCCCCTTCACTCATGAAGGAACAACTTAACAGAGTCATCATTATTTATGGCACAGCGGCAGCCAGAGTGAAAGTTGTGAACGAATGAAGAACCACAGTGGAAAATCCCATGGGAAATGTGGCTGTGCCACTGAACACCCCAGCAGTGTGGCCTTGCATGGAAAGCTGTGTCAATCATCCCTTATCAAAATGGCTTTTGGCAGAGTTTGGAGGTGCTTAGAAACGCCTGGGAAAGCCATGGGAGTATGGAAAAAAAATCTTTGGAGCATGTTGAGAGATACAGAGGTTTGAAATTGTTCAAATCACAGTCTGGGGTTGAGGAAACGATGTAATTATCAAAATAAAGAGAGTGACGGAGCACCTGCTTAGTGTCAGTATAAGAAGAAGTGATATTCCAAATAAATTAAACATTTTCATGGAGCATTAAAGCAGACTGGGGCACCCAGGAGCTCTCAGGGACACTGGGGAATGTCAGCACAAATAGGGATGAGAAAACAAAGCACAACTATGGAAACAGTCACCAAACATAAATCCAGAGGCCCCAAACTATCAGTAATTCCCAGCAGAAATGAACACGTAACATAAGATCAGAGGGACCTGATGTCTGCAGGAAAAGCTGTTCCAATGGAGAGGATTTCAGGCAAAGGCTGGAATAAGTCTGTATTCCACTGGACTTGAATGAAAATTCGGATTTTTTTGTTCCCTGACAAGGTCTATGATTTCCATATTTGTTTAATCCTGTGTGTGATAGAAAAATAAAATGTAAATTTTCGCTCATGGAAAATGTCCTAAACCACGTATCAGACACAATGAGCTCCTTAATTTCAGCATTTTTATCTAACTCACATTTAAAATGACACTTAACAAAATGCTTTGTGTCAGCATCTTTCTGCATTCACACAATTACTTCTGGAATTGCAGTTTAGTTTTAGGGTTTTTCTGTGCAGAACTAAACATTTTCTACAGAGAACTGTATTGATTTTGGAAATACTGTTTTAATTTATCTTTTACAAATGAAAGCTGATGGACATCTTCAAAGTCAGAATTTTTATTCAGAGAAAAAGGGGGGTTTTTTTGCAGAAATTCAGTTTTCTTTCAGGAAACTGTTTTGTTGGCTTATTCTGTGGTTTTCCTTTGAGTTAAATGTCACATTTCAAGCAGACTGCAATGAAGCTTTCCCATAACAAAGCACTGTTCATGTGAGAGCAAAAGCAGACCCTGGGGACAGCCACTTGACGACATGAAAAAGGTCAAAAATGAGGAGCAGGGGGAATAAATAAAGTTCAGTGGGAATCAGCCAAATCCTGGGGTGCAGTTCTGGAGGGATTAATTAAGCACAGCCATTGTTAAGGCACTACAATAGAAAATGGGAAATGGGCTTCAGTGCAAGGGAGGATTTCTGCAGTCACCTTTAGAGCAGGACATGAGGTTTCAGTGCCAATGAGGCTCCCAGGGACACCTGGCTGGGGTTTGTGTCACCAAACAGGAGCATTCCCACCAGGGAGCTGTCCCAGATAAGGACATGTTGTGCTGATGTCTCATGGACAAGAACAGATCTGCTTATCTGCAATAACAACGTGTTTATCAAGGCTGAACCAAGCATGGAGCTTTGCTCAGTTTCAAGAAAAGCTGATGATGTGATTTTTCTTTTCATGGAGAGGGCGTAGTCAGAAGATCATCTTGTGATGTGAGGAGTTCAAAGGCAAGGCAGTTTTCTCACAGTGCTGAGTTTGTACCAAGTGTGGTTCAAGTGCCACCAAGTACAAACACACACAGAGCATCTGCCAGGGCTCTCAGGGCACAGGTGTGTGATGGATGGGAGATCCAAAAATACAAGAAGAGAGCAGAGAAAGAGCAGAGAAAGAAAAAAAGAAAGAAAGAGAAAGAGAGAGAGAAAGAGAGAAAGAGAGAGAGGAAGGAAGGAAGGAAGGAAGGAAGGAAGGAAGGAAGGAAGGAAGGAAGGAAGGAAGGAAGGAAGGAAGGAAGGAAGGAAGGGAAAGAAAGAGAGAAAGAAAGAGAGAAAGAAAGAGAAAGAGAGAAGGAGAGAAAGAAAGAGAAAGAAAGAGAGAAAGAAAGAAAAAGAAAGAAAGAAAGAAAGAAAGAAAGAAAGAAAGAAAGAAAGAAAGAAAGAGAAAGAAAGAGAGAGAGAGAGAGAGAGAGAGAAAGAGAGAAAGAAAAAGAAAGAAAAGAAAGAAAAAGAAAGAAAAGAAAGAAAGAAAAAGAAAGAAAGAAAGAAAGAAAGAAAGAAAGAAAGAAAGAAAGAAAGAGAGAAAGAAAGAGAGAAAGAGAGAGAGAGAAAGAGAGAAAGAAAAAGAAAGAAAAGAAAGAGAAAGAAAGAAAGAAAGAAAGGAAGAAAGGAAGAAAGAAAGAAAGAAAGAAAGAAAGAAAGAAAGAAAGAAAGAAAGAAAGAAAGAAAGAAAGAAAGAAAGAAAGAGAAAGAAAGAAAGAAAGAAAGAAGTGTAATTGTGGTTGAGACAACACCTTTCTGGGCAGGGAATAGAAAAAGTGGAGGGAAAAAATAGGTTCTTTATGTCACCAAATCTGGCAAGGGAATCTGGAGAGGAGGTGGAGAAGGTGCCATGGAGCAGGGAACTGGCCAGGCAAGGCACAGGATACCTGCAAACCCCCAGAGCTGAGCGCCCTCTGTACAGACAGAGCTCAGAACCCACTGCAATTACAACCAGAGTAATTCTGGATTGATTTTGCCAGATGGTAAAGTCTGTAATAAACAGCAGTGTTGGTCTAAGCCTGGGCAGGACATCTGCAGGTCACACTGATTCGTCTTCTGCTCAGAGCTGGGCACCTGTAAAATTCACATTATTTTCTCTGAAGCTGTGGAATAGTCCTCAAGAAATCAGGGATACGAGGTTATTCATGATGAAAATGCAGTACAAAAATCAGTTGCAAATCTCAGCAAAAGCAAAGGTTTTGAAGTGTAGGGTTCTGGGAGGTGGCAGAGCTAACAGACTAAATAAATTAAAGGCAATTTGGTTGTGCATTTCACATTACACTTTATTTCCATGCAGTGCTTGCAAGTGGGCAGATACATCTGCCTTGCACAGAGCCAGGCTGGGGCTGTTTCTTTGCTTTCTGGTTTCATTTCCAAACATGAATTCTGAAATAAAGCACAAGCAGTGTTGAGAGTCAAGACATCTGCACCAACTTAGTTCCACTAGGTGGGCACTGCTACCTTCCTGAGGCCCTGGAAGTTACACAGTCTCTGATTTTGGCAGTAATTTTAGCTAATGTGTTAAAGTCAGCCATGGAAAAGCATAGGAAACTGCCAGAGATTTCTAAGGGTAAACCAAACATTTGAATTTACTACATTTGCTTTATGAAGAAAGCTTTTATGGTTTCGTTTCTTTCATTTTTTTTTTTAATATGGTAAAGCACTGAAATAAAATAGAAGTAAGGAGTAAATGAAAGAAAGGGAAATGAATATTTAGATGTGTAAATTTAAGGAGCTTGTCCCAAGAAGCAGAAAGGAATAAATCAACTATAGCCTGTCTTTTTGAAAGGAAACACTGTTAAATTGTTGAATTTGAGAGGGTTTAAGCATAAAATGAGCTCTTGGGGGACTTTTCCTGCAAGATTCTGCACAGATTATCAATGATGTCAGTGTGTGCCATTCCTTGGTGTGCTGGGCTGAGGAAGGGGACTAAAGGGAGTGCCCTGAACCTTTAAGTGATGAACTCTGTATTGTCTCTAAAGATTCTTTGCAGCACCTATTTCAGTGCAGCTCAGACTTGTGACAACAAGAGGCACCCTGCAGAGCACAACTGTTCTTTTTACTGTTGTTTTTAGAGATGTTAAAGGTTTTAACAAAGAATTCCCTGCCTGTTTCAGTAATTTTCCAAATCCTGACTCCCCTCAAACGTGCCCTTTTTGGACATAACCACTTTAGGCCATATCTGCATGAATAAATGTCTTTTTCCTTCACAGATTTGCCTTATGAGCAAGCCAGGAGATCAGCATGGACGAGTCACAGCCACCCCAGCCCACAGTCAAAAGGTAAAAGCATCTGCACAGCTGGGGAAACATGGATTAGGCTCCAAAGGGAATTACTGCAGCTCTGGAGGGGTTTTGTCTGTGCTTTTTTGGAAAGCCAATTGTATGGGCAATGCTGGGAGGTGTCACTGGGCAGCCACATCCTCCCTTAAACTCAAACTTCATCAAGTCCATCACCATAGTGTGACCGTGTTCACAGGGGCCTTAGGATGAGGAAAGAGACAAGGATCTGACTCTGTTTCAGAAGGCTTGATTTATTATTTTATGATATATATTACATTAAAACTATACTAAAAGATTAGAATTAAAGGTTCTTATCAGAAGGCTAGCTAAGAATAGAATAACAAAGAATGATAACAAAGGTTTGTGACTCGGGCTGTGTGTCTGAGCCAGCTGACTGTGATTGGCCATTAATTAGAAACAACTCTATGAGACCAATCACAGATGCATCTGTTGCATTCCACAGCAGCAGATAATCATTGTTTACATTTTGTTCCTGAGGCCTCTCAGCTTCTCAGGAGGAAAAATCCTAAGGAAAGGATTTTTTCTAAAATATGTCTGCGATGCCATAGAGCCTCAAAAAGCTTTTTATGAGCTTTCAATCCTGTTGTGTCCATCCTGGAGCAGAGGGCAGCAGGACCTCCAGGCCTGGGAATCTCTCATAGGTTTGGTAAGCAACTTCCTAACTGGAAAAATAACAATATGGGATTTTTTTTCCATTTTCAGCTTCTCAGCCGTCATCCTCAACAGTTCCCAAAACAGAAGACCAGCGTCCTCAGTTAGGTGGGTGTAATTTGCTTTGAATTCTGCCTGGGTTTGTTGAATATGATGAGAAGAGCATCCAAACTGCACAGTCTGGTTCAGACCACTCCAGCTGGAGACCACCAAAACCCCAGATGTGAATGGGGTTTGCTGTGCAGCTGGATTTGGGATGAGTGCAATGTTTAAAGGCAGTGACAACCTTCCAGAATGAAAATGCTCTTAAAACATTCCATCTACAATTTGGGTACAAAGGTGGAAGGTGGAGATGTCAAAAGACCCAAGTGGTTGAGATGGCAGCAGCTGGAAAATCTACATAACCCAACACAACAGAAATATTAGAGAGGTTCTTAATCTTGTTGGAAAACTGAGGAGAAAGCAGAAGTTTATGGGTTTTTAGAGTAGTGGTTTAGCAAAATGGGTGCCTTTTGTGTTTTTAGAGCTCCAAATCCCATGGGGTGGGACCTAATCCCTTATTGCAAATTCAGCTGGATTTTGGACAGGTAGCTGGAGAGCACTCCAAAGGTCCTGAGTCAGTCATGACTTTTGTTAACAGCAAAAGGTTAGAAGGAGGAAATAAAAGAGATTTAGAGGATATTCTTAGCTCAGAAGACTCTGAGCCAGGTTTTATCACATGGATTTTAGATCATTATTCTGGTTTTTGTTAGAGCTAAACAAGACTGTGCATGACTAGGTTTCATTAACTCATGCACAGACTGCCTGGGAAGCATTACACTGAATTTTGCTCAAACAGTGTTTTATCTAATCTGGCCTTCCAACCTCGAGAATCCTCCTAGAAATATACCAATGATTTATGTAAGTCCTGAGGACCTTTTAATGGCTGTGTGTGAGCTGCACAGATAATTTAAATGTGTAAGGAATGTAACCTGATTGTCTTCTTGGCTGTAAAAGCCACAGGGTCACTCAGTGCTTGCAGCCCCTCACTTTGGCTTTGGTCCTGCTGTCACATCCCTCCTTTTTTCCCTGTCGGACTTCAGGCCAAAATAAGTTTTTGTTTCCAGAGAGAAATATTGAGATGCTACAGGCATTGTAAGGCTGACAGAGGCTCTTGTGAAAACACCAGTTGCAGGGTTAATCCATGGGATCCCTCACTGCAATCCAGTGACAAAAGAGAATCACAGAATCACTGAGGTTGGGAAAGACTTCCAAGGTCATTGAGTCCAACCTGTTCCCCATCCCCACCTTGTTCCCAGCCCAGAGCTCTGAGTGCCACCTCCAGGGATAGGGATTCCACCACCAGAATGCTTCATAACAAAGTTTCCATTCTGAATGTATGCATCTGCACATTCTTACAGTGCAAAAAGCAAACGTCTGTCCTTGCACACCGAGTCTGAAAGGAAAACATGCAAATATTGCCATGCAGAGGGAGAAAATTGCTCAGGTGTTGGACCTGCTGTCCCACCAGGCAGTGTACACCGCCCCTCACAAGGTTCACACATGGTACCTAAAATATTTGACAATGCTGTTGCATGATTTTAAATCTTTCTTTCACAATTTTGTAGATCCATATCAGATTCTCGGACCGACCAGCAGCCGACTCGCAAATCCAGGTGAGAAGGGATTTTTGTGATTTAGGAGGCTTTCCTTTCTTTCCCTGCTGAGTGTCCCCACTTCAGCTGTAAGACCAGACCTGGAAGGGGATGTCCCTGATTTTCCCTTTCCTCAGCGGGAGCTGATGATACCCAGTGTTGCAGAATTTCTGAATTACACAAGGGTGGGACTGAGGAGTTTAGAATCATTAGGGTTGGAAAGGGCCTCCAAAGAGTCCAACCTTTGAAGCTGGAGTTCACTTCAGTTTCCTGAACATCAGGATTTGGTTAAGGAGTGTGAGAGACCCCATCTGGTCTCCAGTTGCTCCTCCAGAAGGGTACAAATCTCTTAACCACTCCTCATCAGCTGTGTCCCAGATTCTGTTAATCCACAACAAAGTATCATACTGGCCTTGATGAATACAAAATTTTGGGATGAAATATATAAGAAAAAGAAAACAAAAAACAGGAAAGTAAAATCTATTTGCAAATAATAACTGGGTCAAACACTTCAAAAATATTGTCCCATCTCAAGAAGGCAGTGGGGTGCATTGTGGAAAGGGAGGTGTGGCTTAGAACACAATCACAGACTCAGAGAGTTACTCAGGTTGGAAAATACTTCAAGGATCATTGAGTGCAGCCTTGGATTATGATGTTTTTGCTAAAGACAAGGGATCTCTGGGTGATTTAGTAGCTCTGCTTGGGCATTGTGCAGATTTCACTGCTCCCGGTCTGCAGGACACACACAGCACCAGGATCAACAGCCCAGCCCACCACAATGGACTGGCATTGTGTGCTCCACTTGTGTCCCTTGCCTGGACAGTCCCAGGGCACAACATTCCTCGTTCCACACAGATCTCCTCAGCCCCTAGTGACGATGGCTCTTTTTCCAACATTCTCATGTCTTTTCAAGGCCTGAAATTGCCAAAATGCTGATCAGTTTCCTTTCATTTCTCCCGACATCGAGCACAGTTCTAGATTAGCTGACTCTCCAAACAGTTTTGTGTGGCAGAGGAAAGTAATTGAGTAAGTGTTAAGAATAGGATTTTCTAAATGGCCTGAAGTGGTGGAGGTTTCCAGGCAACACTGGTCTTGACTGGAAGTGGGGGCCCACATCTCTTTTAATAAATCATAAATCATAGCTTGCCAAATTTTATCAAGTGTCCATTTGGTTGATTTCATTACTGTGAATGACATTAACACAATATGGATTGGGATTCTTTTTTAACATTTGGGTATGGAATTCCTCCACACCATCATTCCTGTGCTTTAACATGTTTTGTGTGTTTATAAATCGGTGGAATTACTCTCTCATTAAAAGGAAATTGACAGCAACCATTTATTTTCATAGGACTATATATTACATTTGGAAGGCAAGTGTTTATGTTAGAACATATGTTGGCTTGCTTATTCAAAAATTTGTGTTTTGTCCAGTGTTGAACTGTTTATTGATTTTCAAAGCCTAATCCTCTTGTTATGTTTCGTGTATTAAAACTTGCATGCCTTGCTCATACCATGGATTCTTTTGTTTGTTTGTTTATTTAATGCATGTTAATGGAACAGAAGAAATTCATTAAGGCCAGTTTGGATAAATACAATTTAAATGAATATGGGTTTCAGTTGCACTGAAGTATAAACTGCTAATCGGTTTCAGATGCTGCTCTAGCTCGATATTGTAATTGCTACTATAAGCTTTCTAAAGAAAAGCTTGTTTATTATATCCACATAGCTGGTTTGGATAAGAAAAAAAGAAAGAAACCCAACCTATTCCTGGTCAGAGACGTAGTTCAGAGTTAGCACATCCAGGCTGGTTGGCAAATTCTGCTGACACCGTGCTTGTGAAACAGATTGCATCGCAAGCTGCTTCAGCTGCATTTTGCATCATTTCAGTGTTGCTTTGTTAAGAAATGCTAAGCTTCTAACACGACCATCAGTGGCAAGGCCCTTTTAAATCTACTTTCAGTTGTCTAAAATGGACAAATTTTGTTGCCCTACCTCACTTTTGCAAAGTTCACAGCAGACTGTTTTCTTTTTGCAGTGGAATTGGCAGAGTGAGAAAAATACAACAGCAGCATTTTATGTCTTAACGTAAAATAATAATTTTAACTCATCTGAAGCAGAATGATGACAAGGATGTATTTTATGGACCTTTTCACTGTTCTTGCAGTTATTTTGCCCTCTGCTTGTATGCAGTGTAACAGCAAGCTAATAAGTTTCCGTTGTGCATTTCCCCAAATGCTGCAAAGGGATGATATGGTTTGGCACGGGCCCAGCTTGCTCTAAACTTCTCCATTTTGTGTGGGCTCATTCCATAGCAGGGAACATTGAGTTGCAACATAATGCTGTGAGAACAAGCCGAGTGTTTCGCAAGTGAAAGCTGTTTGTGCTGAACTTTGGAGATTAGTTTCCTAAATGAGCCCTGTATTATTTTCCCATCAATTGTCTGCGCTGAATGACATTAGGTAACAATTAAGCCTCCATGGAATGGCATTCTGCCACTCACATGAGGGAAAACATGACACATTACAATTATCCCTGCTCTTTAGGGTTTCACAAGGCAGTCCTGGGAGAAGGGGGACAGTAATAGTTGCCTCCTCGAGCCAGGCCTCATAAGCTCTTGGAGGTCTATTACTCACCCAAGATAGCTCAGCTACCTTTGGAGGCATAAAATCAGGATGGCTTCTGTTGCAGTGTTGGAAACAAAAAGGTTTAATAAAAGGCAAAATAACAAACAGAGAAAAATCGAGCCAGGTGCAAGAGGTTTTTGTTCCTGGTAAAACACCTCAAAAAAGCCATTAGTTTCTTTGTTCTCTTCTTTTTGTAGTAAATTGCTCAGGACTTTTTGGCTTCTGTCCAATTGGCTATCCTTAAATTCGAGGTGAAGTCCCCCAGCTCCTATGAGGTGTCGTTTTCACCTAATCGAGGAGAGAAACTTCTGGGCTTCTTTCCTTTTTGACGGGAAAAAGGATAGTTTTGTCACTCCGTAGTTTTGTCACATTCCTATAGGGGGCTGGCTAATAGAAAGAGTTAGGAGCCAACATCCCAACATTTCCTAATGGGGCCCTTGGGGATGAAGCAAAGGAGAAACCTGACCCAAGAGTTCATTCTGATAAAAAAGAATTAGTAGCAAGTGTCACGCGAAATCAGTGGAATAAAGATGTATGAACCTATTGTGAAATTGCATGCATATATATATTTTATTTTTTTTTAAGAAAAAGATAATATAAGATATATTTCCCTCTGGAAATAAAATATAATCTATATATTAAGGAAAGAAAATCTATTATACATTTTTTATATATATATATATATATATATATATATATATATATAAAATTATAGATATTATTTATAATAGAATAGAATAGAATAGAATAGAATATATATGATAATATATAAATTTATGTATAATATTATGTATAATATCATGTATAGTATTATATATTTTATAATATAATAATATATAAATAAAATATATATAATAGTATATATTATTAATATTTATATCTATATATATAATATTTTTATTTTTTTATATATAAATAAAAATATATATATTTAAGAAAAAGATAAAAAGAGATCTAGAGTTCCCGGAGGTACACATGTCATTTTAGAAGAGCAATTCCCACATGCCTCCAGCTCTGTAATAAAGCTGTAAATATCAGCTTTACAACTTTCACAAAAGCTGCAAAGATTTGTTTGTTTCCCCAAATCGGGGCGAGCCCGTGCAGTGTTATTGATATTCCCGCTGTGTTCCTCCCCGCAGGCAGCGGGCAGATCCAGCTGTGGCAGTTCCTGCTGGAGCTGCTCTCAGACAGCTCCAACTCCAACTGCATCACCTGGGAGGGCACCAACGGCGAGTTCAAGATGACGGACCCCGACGAGGTGGCGCGGCGCTGGGGCGAGCGCAAGAGCAAGCCCAACATGAACTACGACAAGCTCAGCCGTGCCCTGCGCTACTACTACGATAAGAACATCATGACCAAGGTGCACGGCAAGCGCTACGCCTACAAGTTCGACTTCCACGGCATCGCCCAGGCCCTGCAGCCTCACCCGCCGGAGTCGTCCATGTACAAGTACCCCTCGGAGCTGCCCTACATGAGCTCGTACCACGCGCACCCGCAGAAGATGAACTTTGTGGCTCCCCACCCCCCCGCCCTGCCCGTGACGTCCTCCAGCTTTTTTGCCGCCCCCAATCCCTACTGGAATTCGCCGACTGGAGGGATCTACCCCAACACCAGGCTGCCAGCTGCTCATATGCCTTCTCATCTTGGCACCTACTACTAGAGTGGGGTTGGGGGAGATAAACAGCAAGGCAAAGCGAAGGAGCTTCTCACTGGGGTTCGGTCCCTGAGGAGTCGCAATGAACTCTGTTGGAGTGCTCGAATTAAAAGTGCCTAAAGAGACAAGTGAAGGTTTGGCTGGGAAAAAAAAAGCCCAAAACCACATTAAAAATAGATGTCAAAAAGACTTTTTTTGTAGTAGGGATTTAAAGGAAATATCCAAGAAGTATTAAGATACTAAAATGTAATGTATATGGGCATCGATTCTGTGGACCAAACAACAATAGACTATTGTAGGTAGAAGCATGAAATGATAAGGAAAACCTGCGGAAGCTGGTGGTCTTAAAAAGTTGATAAGCTTGTGTGTAAAGTTTGATATCATGCTAGTGCAAAACTGGGACTATACTACAGCAATATAAGGATGAGTCTATAGTGACCTAACACACAGTATCTGGATCATTACAAAAGAGAGGGAAAAGGGAAAAAAAAAAAGCCTATCTGTATTTAAAAAAATAGAAACATATCAGCAGAAGAGACTGGTTGGTGTGGAAGCTGATTTGGAATAGAGCAGCAGTGTTGTGGTTAAAGTCAACCGAGATCCATTCATCAGAGCGAATCAGCTACTCAAACTGTGAAGAAAACCCAAACTTTCAGATTCCTTGACAGTTTTACAGGAACCCTGAGCCAAACGTGGGAAATGAGAATGTGCTGGAGGGCAAGTGTATGATTGTAGATCAGAGGCCTGCACCTGGCAGAGGAAGCAGGAAGAAGGAGGAGGAGGATGAAGGTGGTGAGAAGGGGAGGAAAGAAACTTCTTGACCAGTAGAGACTGAAAAGACTGAAAACTTTGTAGTGTTGGGACTATGAAGAAACACTTGTTTGGACTTGTGAAACATATTGCTCAGTATTATACCATTCCCAGTATTTCAGGAGGAACAGACTTGATTCAGTAGTACTAAAAAGTGGGAAAAGGGAAAAAGCAGAAGGAGGAGCGAGAAATCAGAATATGCATCTCTCTTTTTTTTTTTTTTAGGAAAAAAATCCAAAATCAAAACTGGAATTGTGTCTGATATTTAAAAGTTACCAGTTGGAACCTCATCATTACTAAGGGAGTTTGTTTTCTATGAGTTGGAGCAAGAGACAACCCCTGAGTGCCAGAACCAGAAATCACCTGAGTATTTTTGTTAGGCGGGCGCCAGTTTTTCTTACCGAGTCGCGAACGCTGTGCGTTTGTCAGAATGAAGTATACAAGTTCAATGTTATTTTTTTTTTCCTTTTTATATAATTATTATATAACTTATGCATTTATACACTACGAGTTGATCTCGGCCAACCAAAGACACACACACACAAAAAACAAACAAAAAAAAGGGACAATCCAAAAAAACCAAAACTATTGTGGCCTTGAATTTTAACTCTGTATGCTTAATGTTTACATTATGAACATATTAGTCCTTAGATTGCAGAATGTATGTAATAAAATAAGCTTGGCCTAGCATGGCAATTTCAGATTGACACTGTGGTTTGCATTTGTGTTTGCATTTTTTGTGTGTGACACCCATGCCAGATCTGCTACTCACCAGGTTAAAACAGGCCGGGATTTTTGGGCTGTGAAAATGTAGGAGCAAACAGCCTGAGTTTAAATGCACAGGTGCTGTGCATCTTCTTTTCCAGACAGTTCTGCTGAAACACTTCCAGCCCTTCTTCAACAGTGCCTTGCCATCCCTGTGCTGAGCTGCTCTGGCCCAGAGATTGCAACCATCCCCAATTAATTCACCGACAGCTCCACGCCCAAGGCTGGAAATGAAGCCTAAGGGAGGCCTCTAAGGAAGAGTATTCTTGCCCACAAATTATCTTTTGTTGCCATGAAGTTACGCTGCAAAACCTCAGGCTGAGATGTATCTCCCTCCTGAATCGTGTGTTGAATTGCTTTGCCCCCTTGCCCTTAATACATTCTGTATCATTATTAGTAAATAAAGTGAATAATGAGTAATTTCCATTATTCCCCACTTTAGAATGGAGTGTATGGCAGCCTTGTTCATTTGTCACTGCAGCCCATTCTGGCTGTTTACAAAGGGCAGTTGTTTTTATTTTTCTCTTCTAGCTTTAGAGGCTTCCCACTCTGTACCCTGGGCCCCAAAACTGCATCTGGTGCCTACTGGCATAAATCCATTCTTTCCCAACACCATCTGAGGAGCTGGTCTGGAAAATCATGCCTGACATTTATGAGTGTCTCTCCACAGTGTTTGCTGCAGGAATCCCAGACAGCTCAGCCCCCTGTATCCCTCCTTTTTGCTGTTCTTTTGTGTCCTTTTTCCCAGACAAAATGGGTGTGGTTCCAGGTTTTATAGATGTTCTGCATATCCATTTTTTGGGGAGCAATGGGAGCCAACTCACCAGGCTTCGTGTTAGGAGTGTCTTGGTGGCAGTTCATAAGCACAGGATTCTGTTACCAATGTGTGAGACCTGAGCAGGGAAATAAGCACTCTAAGTCTGTATTTCTAAAAAAAAAAAAGAAAGAAAAATATGAACTATTGGAAAAGGTCAGTCACTGTTTTAGAAAGGTATGGAGTTAAGGCAGGCACACCTACGTGTGACTACAAAGTTAATAATTTGCCTTTCAATGGAAATAAATCCAAAGATCCTCACTTTCTGCTTCATGTGTACTTCCAACCCGAAATGGTAAGTGTATTTTTGAACCAGCTTTTAATTAAACACTAAAAATCCAGATTTAAATTAGCTCTTTGTTTGGATGGGCAAGGACATGCCTGGATGCTCCAAAACATCGACAGTGCTCACAGGGCTGCATGCAGGATTTCCAGATTTGGTGCCTGGCTGCTGTCCTGGGCAATGGGAACAGCATCCTGGCATTGGGATCCAGATCCTGGGACAGGGATGGAGCCAGAGCAGATGGAGCCTCCTCGTGTGAAGAGCAAAATCCTCGAGCTGGCCATGGGAAGGTCACTGGTCACCCATTGCAGAGCTAAACCTTCCTTCAGGACCTGCTCCCTGCCTTCAGGAGCCTTGGAAAACACCGATTTGGCACGATGGGAGTGAAGGATGGAGAGACCCTGCTGCTGCTGCTGCTGCCTTGGGGTTATTTGTAGGGTCTCCCTGTGGCCACAGCAAGGGGTGAGCCCAGAGAAAAAGAGCTCCATGTCCACACCATGAGAGACGTTCAGTGAGGCTCACACAGACCCCAAAACCTTGGCTGGATCTTCTCTTTGTCATTTAGCACCTGGACAGCATGGCCCTGATATGCAGCAACTGGTAATATTAATAACTTCAGCCCTTTATTTAGATTTCTTTAAATTTATTTAAGTTTCTTTCAAAGTCAGTTGTCAGCCAAGCTTCAACCCTTACCCCAATTCCAACGAGTCTGCACTTCATACCCGAGATTCCACAAGCCTTTAAAACTGTCCACAGATCATCAGGGATTCAGGCTTTTCTTCTGCAAATTTTTCTGCTTCAGACTATTTCTTGCCCCAGCTAAAATATAATTTTAAAATCAATTTCTCGTTACATGTGCATTAAAGGTAGAATAAACCATTTTACCTATGTCATATGATGAGTCATCCCATGATCATTTTCTGTGCCATCTTCTCAAGTTTTGGTCACATTAGGAAAATAGTCTCTGATGATCTAAATTGCTGTCAGAGGGGCACCTCATCCATCCAAAGGGTTTGGTTGATTCCTGAATTTTTCCTCCTGATGCAACACAAATTCTTCATTCCCTCTCTGGGCAGTGGTGGGAGCACTTGGGTATCTTCACAGCAGATCCTGCCTGGCTCTGCTGCTGTCCCCTGGGTGCTGTGACCTCTCCTTGGAGGCACTGGCAGCTGCAGGGACATCAGAGCACGACCCAGCATGAGCTCTGCTTGAAGAAAGGTTAATGAGAATATTTTGAACTTATTCATGAGGATATTTGAGCCAACTGGAATGCAGAAAATTATTTCAAAATTTAATTTTATAGCATCACAAAGTGGTTTGGGTTGGAAGGGAAATAAAGGTTCCAACAGGGACACCTTCAACTGTCCCAGGTTCCTCCAAGCCCCAGTGTCCAACCTGGCCTTGGACACTTCCAGGGATCCATGGGCACCCTATGCCAGGGCCTCCCCACCCTCACAGGGAAGAATTTCTTCCTAATATCCCATTTAACCCTGCTTTCTGTCAGTTTGAAGCCATTCTTCTTGTCCTGGCAGTCCAGGCTCTTGTAAAATGTCCCTCTCCATCTTACTTGTCAACTCCCTCCCCAGCATCTTTTTAAAAGGGCACATATTTTCAAGAAAACTATCAAAACACCCAGGGTTCTTGGGCCAGGAATTGATGATATGTCCTTTTAAATCACTGGATTGAGGACTGCTCAAAACCAGGCTCAGAAAATGTTGGGGTTGCATGCCAGAATATTGATCCACATATATGTCTTATAAAAACCTAAGGGGCAGAATAAATTCCTGTGCCCAGTCCTAGAAGCAGTGAGGAATTCTGCTTGGGGAACCAAAACCATCCATTACAACATCATAACAAAACTATTATTACTATTATATTATTATAACAAAACTCATTATAACAAAAGTATTTTCCACAGTACATTTACTGGTGTTTCCTTAACCTTCTCCTTTGAAATGGTCTCAATTCCAGGGTATTTCCACCCATTCCCATTACACAGAGCCCAACACTCCTCATTGTCAAAAGGAGGTGGGTGGTTTTTCTGGGGTTTTTTTTCCCTGCCATTTCTGTATTTTGCAATTCCTCACCCTCCAGAGTTCTTTGCCTGCCTCAGTGTTTACAGCTTTCCAAATATTTGTGGTTTGTTATCACGCTCCCTTTGACTGGGTGCTTGCCAAGCTTTGACATATTCCACTTCACAAACCTATCCCTCTTCTTCTCTGACAATTGTTAATGTGCCCTTCTTCTTCTTTTGTTGCATTTTTTGGGGTTTTTGTCCTTTTTTCCCCCCTGTTTCCCCCTGTCTAAACCATTCCCATCCAGGAGTTTTTTGACTGCACCTCCATCCCACTGGGATCTGTTCTTCCCATCAAGCAGCTGATGCACCTTTAGTCCCACCTGGATGAAAGGTGAGCAGCTGCAAGATGGATTTCCATGTTCTTTCTTTGGAATTCCCTTCTCATGGGATTAAAAGCATCCTTTCCTCAGGCATCTCCACCAGCAGACCACTGAAAAGCTTTTTCCAAACTCTTGGAGTGAAATTGCTGCACTGGTTGCACCAGCTCATCCTGCCCCAAAAAAAGTTCCTCTTCATTTCCAGTTTTCTTCATGCTGAAGGTGTCATTTTCCTCCACAGAAAACTTGAAATCTGCTCTGCAGAGAATCACAGGATTGCAGGATCATCAAGGTTGGAAGAAACCATCACCCCAAAACTGTGTCCCAAAATCCATATCCAGATACCAAATTGGATACAGGCTTCTAGCACAAGAACTTGGATTAAATACTTGCCATGATACTTTTAGGCTT